ACAATAGTTACCAATATTCTGTTCTGTGTGGTTAAAAATAAGATGATGAAAGTATAATATCACAAATCCCCCAATTCAGTTCCCATGCAAAGAAAAAGTTTTTTTTTTCTTTTCTATTGGTTCACACTGCTTAAGAGTGGTGAAATAATGCAAGCAAATCTTATTCTAAAGAATATACCTGTTATGGGACCAGCAGTTGGCATAATGGCTATGTTGCTGGACTCCCATGTAGTCGAGCACGGTCCAAGTCCCGGACTTGCTGGCTTAAACGCTGGATGCGTTTGCATGCATGCCCAAGATACCAAGAGGAAAATAGAGGAGAAGGGATTGGGGAGTGGTTTCTTGCTTTCTGTCTCTCTGTCTCTCTCTGTATTTCTGGAGAACGCATGCACCCTATAGTAAAAACCTCTCAAAAAAAAAAAAAAGTTAAAGATTTTTTATTTAAATTTATTTATTTACATTCATTCACTATACATCATCACAGCAAACAAAATGAGATTTCCCATCCAGAATACACTGTATATTGGCTCAATCAAGCACATTAACATACATGTTATTGTCAACAATTTTCCATTTCTTGTTTCCTGTATATTTTGTTATTTTTACCATTCTTGATTCCCTATCTCTCCCCCTCTGCCATGTCCCACCCTCCTCCCACACTGTTTCTGGTATCCACGGTTGCTTTCTATGCCTTTTCCCCCCATTTTATTTATTTTCTAAAGAACTTAATTAATCTAAATACTTCCAATAGCAAACGCAGCTGATATATACATATCCATGAACACAAGTCTGACCCTAGGCATAAAGCTCAGTGAGTAGAATGAACATACTACAGAGTATCACCAACTGGGACTAGATAGCTTACTGCAGTCATCAGACATGCGTTTTTTTAATTTCATGAAAAATAGTTTTCATGATTTTTTTCCTCCTGAAACTTTTTTAAAATTAATTAATTTACATTCATCCCCTAATCATCGTCATAGCATACAAAAAGTGTTTTTCCATGCAAAATATACTGCACAGTGGCTTAATCATGTATGTTATCATCAATAATTTTCCTTTTCTAGTTTTATAGATATATTTATATATATTTACCCTTATGTCTGACATGCCCTTTCCCACCCTCTTCTCATACTATCTCTGGTGTCTACAGTTGTCTTCCATTTCTTTTCCCCCCACATTTTATTGATCCCACAATTTCTTAAATAATCTAACTACTTTCAATAGCAAGTTTAGCTGGTAATGTCAAGAAAAGCAGTTTTGAATTGGTAGGGAAAATTGCTTTAAACTTAAACCTGGAAACAGGTTAGTATTCTGTTCAAATAGTAGGTACATGAACCTATTGACAGCTCAAGACAGGATAAAAACTCTTAAAACCGGACAACAAAGCTTAGAAGAAAAGCAGCAATATTTTAGACAAAAGTCACAGAATACTATTTCACCAGTTCAGTCTCATGTACTTAATCTATCCTCTGTTGTGGTTCAATCTTCCTGATTGAATTCTGGGATATAATATTCAACTCCAGACTTGTCCCTACAATTAAATTAGCCATTTTCTTAGTTTTTGAACTCTTATTTCTGTGTGAACACATTCAATTTTCCTGACATAACACTCCCTTGAGAACTTCAACTTCTTGGAGATCTGGTCTGCTGCTAGTAAATTCTTTCAGGTTTTGTTTATCTGAGAATGTTCTTGTCTTTTCTTCCCATATGAAGGATAATCTTGCTGGATACAATATTCTCAGTTGTAATTGCTTTTCTCTTAACACTTTGAATATATTTTCCCATTCTTTCCTTGCTTGCATTGTTTCTGATGAAAGGTCTTCTGTTAGTCTGATGGGATATTCTTTGTAGGTAACTTACCATTTCTCTCTTGCCATTAAAGAAATAACATTTTAATTTTTTAATTTTTTTTTGAGAGGTTTTCGCTATAGGGCGCGTGCACTCGCCAGACAGACAGAGACATAGAGACAGAAAGCAAGAAATCACCCCCCAGGGGGGATGGTCACGCCTCAATCCCTTCTCCTCCATTCTCCTCTCGGGATCTTGGGCACGCACGCACACGCGCCCAGCGTGAGATTTAAGCCACCGGGTCCGAGATGCGAACCGTGGTCGACTACGTGGGAGTCCAGCGACATAGCCATTACGCTAACTGCTGGTTCCCAAGAAATAACATTTTTAAAAAGTTTATTGAGAGCCAATTATGTGCCAGACACCGTTTTAAGTGAAAACAAACATCTATCTTCCATAGAGCTCACATTTTATTGGTGTTCTAACACTATTCCAGTTGGATCAATAACAATACAGACAGTCCCCAAATTAGGAAGTTTTGACTTACAGTTTTTTTTCTTCTACTGGTGCAAGAGCAACATTCATTCAGTAGAAACTGCACTTCAAATTTTGAATTTTGATTTTTCTAAGTTTATTTATTTCTTCAGAGAGACAGAGACTCTCCAGTAGAGTCTTCATGCTGCTATCCACCACAGTCTTAGGAATAGGAACCCAGAACCTTTCAACGTTGGTCCACTTGAATTAATACTGCCCACCACCCGGCCCTAAAATTTGATCTTTTCCTGGGCTAGCAATATGTGGTACAATGCTCTCTCTCACCATGCTAGACAGCACCAGCAAGCCATAGCTCCCAATCAGTTATGGATCTTGAGGTTAAACCAATATTGTACAGTGGACTGTGTTACCAACATTTTTTTCAATTATCGTGCTTTGATTTTGCATACCATTGTGTCTGCAAAATAGCCATTTTCTTTTTCTTTTTTTCTTTAGGTTTTTGCTATAGAGTGTGTGCACTCGCCAGAGAGAGACATTGAGAGGAAAAGTGAGAAATCACTCCCACAGGAGGCCATGGCCATGTCATAATCCCTTCTCTTTCATTTTCCTCCTGGGATTTTGAGCATGCATGCATACATACTTAGCATGATTTTCAAGCTGCCAGATCTGGAACTCAAACCATAGCCATGTGGGAGTCCAGTGCATTAACCAGTACGCCACCTGCTGTCGCCAATACCCATTTTCAACTTGCAATATTTTTAACTTATTAAGGATCTATTGGGATTAACCCCATCTTAAGTCAAATAGCAGCTGTAACAGCTACAATTTAGGGAATGTGTGGTTATGCATTTGACCAGGCTAATCATTTTGCATTCAATTCAACAAATACTTAACCAGTGCCTAAAGTATTCTAGACTATCCTGTCTACTTTGAATATAACAGTAAATAAAACTTACATTCTGCTGGAAAAACAGAGGCACTGAGCAATGCCCACAGTAAATTAGCAAATTATAGAATATATTAGAAGGTGACTGTTGTGGAGACTAAAGAGAGAGCAGAATAAGCTACCACAGGATCTTTTGCCACTTTAAATAGGGTGATCAGTTAAGCCCCACTGAAAAGGCAACATGCACGCCCTGCAGTGCAGTAGTTGAGCACTGTGCCCTGTGGAGACAGATTCCACATGGTCAACTGCAGCTTGAAGAACAATTTGGACCCACATGCATGTCCAGAATCCTGACAGAATGGAGAAATGGAGGGAAAAAAGACTGCAGCAGCATGACCAGGTCCCACTGAGGGTACTTTCTCTCTCCCTTTCTCATACATAGAGGTGCTCACTGACAATAATGAAAAGAAAAGAAAAGAGAAAAAGAAAAGGAAGAAAAGGAAAGAAAAAAAAAGGAAAGAAAAGAAAAGAGAAGGTGTAAGCATAGCTAAAGGAAATGAGCAAGTTCATCCTGTGGATACCTGGGAGCTATAAGGAAGAAAGAACTGCCTATAAAAAGTGACAATGTGGGTTTTAGGCACATACTCCAGTATGTCTGGAACAGCAAGGAAGCTACTGTGTCTGTAAGCAAATGTGGAAAAAAAATAGGTGAGATCACAGAGGCCCGGGGAGCCTCTTTAGGCCTTTTTGTCTTTGACACTAAATAAAATAGGCAACCTTGGAAAGTTTGCAATAAGATGAAGGTCTTTTTAAATTTTCGAATGATAGCTTGAGCTGCAATGCTGGAACTAAATCATGAACAAGGACAAGGATAAAGGAAGGGGGATCAGTGAGGAACCTACTGCAAAAATCCTGGTAGAGACAACGGTGTTAACACTAAGGGAGCAGGGGCACTTATTTACAGGATGAAGAAAGAGAAAATGACAGTGTGCTGTCTCTAAAAGCTGAACTTTTAATTACTATGTCTGCTGTCTCCTGCTGAGACCACTTTCAGCTCAAAATATATCTAAGAAAGGCGGTGTAACTGCTTCGACGATGCCTGATCATTTCATGGAGTGAGGTTTTAAATTATTAAAGAGAATACTACTTTTATACCCAATTTTCAAGTCCTGCTCATTCTTCAAAGCCCATACCGAGTTTGACTTGTTACTCTGGCTCTCACTTAAAATCCTATCAGTACTGTATTTGACGCTTCATATGTTCTTTTCCATCTTTGCATAGGTCTTTATGATTTTTTTCAGCTGTTTTGTGAATACTTCAGGGAATGAAACAAGATTCTGAGCCAGGAGATAGAACTCTAATTGACAGAGAGTTCGGACATACAGCACAAAGGTGGAGTCACAACAGCCAAGCTTTCACTACACGCTAGAAACTGCTTGTGCACGAGACAGCTTGCAGCAATGATGGACATAGTCACCACCTGCAGCATGGCCTAAAGCAATAGCATCCCCAAACAAAGATTATGGACTTGGTGGCCCCAGGGCACCAGACAAAGAGTACAGATTCCCAAGGTCAGTTAGCTGGCCCCCCATCCCCTGAAAACCTTAATAGCGAGTTGCCTTGATTATCAATTTAAAAAGGGAACCAATATCCTGACTTTATAAACAATTTTAGGTTTTTTTGAAGCCTACTTCCTTCTCAGAGTCAGGCCCTTGCTCAGACTGCTAGGTAAAATGCCCTGACAGGAGCCTCAGGTGGGCAGCCCTCTTTGGGACCCTTCCTGTTCAGGAGAATTTCTGTTTCAATAAAACTCTGTTTTATTACTTACCTCCTCCTCTGTTCACATTTCTCATTCTTTGTGATCATGAGACAGAAACTCAGAAACTCAGGAATTCTGCAACAATACATCTGTCCCCAACATGGTCTGGAATAAAATAGATTCAGAAATCTTCAAATATTAACTGATTGATAGCATTCCACTTTGAAAGTGGCTTACAGATAATGCAAATATAAAGTTATTTTAGAATTCTGATATAGAGGGGCCAGAAGATGGTGTGGTGTTAGGGCACTGTACTGTCACATGGCAGACAAGGATTCAAGTCCCGGGCCCTGCAACTTGAAACTCACACCAGCCACATGTGTAAGCGTGCCCAAGACCTCTGGAGGAGAATGGATGCGAGGGATTGTGGCATGGCCATCCCTCCCCGCAAGTGATTTCTCACTTATCCTCTCACCATCTCTGCTTCTCTCCCTCCCTCCTTCTCTCTCTCTCTAGTAAGCACACACACCCTAAGGCAAAGACCTCTAAAAAAGAAAAAAAAAATTCTGATATAGAAAGAGGGATGGTAAAAAGTCTGTGCTATATATGTAAACCTTGGCAATAATGCCATATGATACATAGAAAAGGAATTTATTATGAAAGCAAAATTTCTCATATTTATACAGTATATTACTGTTTATTTAATCTTTTCACTCGAATAATTTAATTTGATCACTGTAGTGCCCCATGATTTTATTATGTTGATACTTTTTTAAAAAGACCAAAATTATCAAATAATGTTTGATGAATGATGCATAATGTATCAAGGGAAAAAATCAATCTCAAATTACATTTAAATTCTGTGCACTGTACCTTCAGGATTTATATTTTTATAAGAACTAGTGAAAAGCAGAAAAGATAATTAATCAAGAGTACAGTGTGATGACCTGAAAGTAGTATTAGTTCTATTGTAAACATTTCGACCTTCTTCAAACATGTTCCACCCACAGATCCACACACACGGCTTCTCACAGGTGAATTAAGCACATCCTTAAAACTGACCTTTCTCTCCTCCTTCAGCACTTTGCCATTTGATGTGGGGTTTAAATGTCATCTACTCGTTTTTCCTTTTTCTCTCAACCAAAGACCATTAATCATGTCCATCTGTATGTGACATTGCACAGAGTCGTATTAACTCCTATGCATGCCTATAGCTACCATCACTCTTGGGTAGAATGACCACATCTGAGTTCTCAACCCTTCTTCACATTTTCACCATGCATTCCTTCCACTGAACTCAAATACTTCAATACAGCTTCCCTCTCCATTATCTGTGCTAATGACACAGCGGGATAAGTGAGAGCCACCAAAAACTTGCAACCTAGATTTAGCCTTTTATCCTCTGCTGCCCTTTCCATGAGTTGCTAATGAGCAGTGAAGTTGACAGATCGAAATGTCATCTCTTTCTGCCCTCTGATATAAGTGTTAATGAAAAACAATATGACAAGGAGCTGACAGGACATGAGGCAAAGGAAAGTAAGGGCCTGGCTGACCTGGATGCCTTTACATCTTAGTTTATTTTAGGTATTTCTTCTGCGAATTGCCCTGTGATTGGGGGTTGAATATTGTACTCTTCTTATTTAAGACTTTGTGACCAAGTAAGTCATTGAATATTCTCAAACCACAGATTTGTCATCTATTCTGGTCAGCCACTAAAATATTCATGGCACTTTCACAACTCAAAAGTGTAAGACATAGCTTTCTATTCAGATGTAGTCTCTTCTAACCTTTCACTAATAAACTCAGAAAAACCTAGAAAAAAATGTACAAATCTTAACAGAAAATCATGAATCATGGTCATCTTACTGCCAGGAAATGAGAGGATTTTCCACTAACTCTTACTCAATAGAGCTACCTTCAGAATCCCCCACAGTGGGGACCAACAGGTAGTGTAATGGCTATGTTGCTGGACTCCCTTGTAGTCGACCGCGGTTCGAGTCCCAGACCCGGTGGCTTAAACTCATGCGGGGCGCATGTGTGTGTTTGTGCCCAAGATCCCGAGAGGAGAATGGAGAAGGGATTGTGGTGTGGCCATCCTCCCTGGGGGGGTGATTTCTCGCTTTCTGTCTCTCTATCTCTCTCTCTCTGGCGAGCGCACGTGCCCTATAGCAAAAATCTCTCCAAAAGAAAAGAAAAGAATTTCCCACAGTTGCTTGTGCATATTTTGCTGTCATCAATGGAAGGTACTTCCACGGCTAGAAGCAAATGGAGAAAGTGGTTGAACCCTCATAACTTGCTAAACTTTTAATGAGAGCCAGCTATTGCAATAGGAAATTTAGTTACTATCCTTCAGAACATTATAATTCTCTTGAAACAAACCCCTACTCCCAATGCCTCTTTCTCTACTTCTCTTCAGAAAATAATTTCTGGAAACCAGCACATGTTAGACATTTAACATTTTACTTGTTAGAGTCATAACAAGAGCAACAACAAATTACAGAAATAGGAAGAGCCGGTGATGGCCTATACTGAGATGGAAAGTTATAGGACCCTCTCAGAGGAAAATACCACTAAATCCAAAGATCTGCTCTTAGATGACATAATGGTTACATCACTGGGCTCCCATGTAGTCGACCTCAGTTCAAATCCCAAACCCAGTGTCTTAAACTCACGCTGGGTGCGTGTGCATGTGTGCCCAAGATCACGAGAGGAGAATGGAGAAGGGATTGCAGTGTGGCCATCCCCCTGGGTGGTGATTTCTCGCTTTCTGTCTCTCTGTCTCTCTCTGTCTTTCCAGCGAACGCATGGACAATATAACAAAAACCTCTCCAAAAAGAAAAAAAATCTGCTCTTAGAGAGATGGCTGTTAGAGAGTGAGAACTTGAAGAGAAACCAAAAAACATACAGCTGCAGATGTTCCCTAGTATTCAGTGAACCCTAGAGAGGTAACTATTTACCCTGTTTACTGGCAAATATCAGGATTGGAGAAAATTCACATATTACAGACTGGGTAAATGGAAAGAACATAACATTCACAGGATTTGGAATTAGAGTTCTATGTTTCAAACTGGATCTGATTTTACATAAGTCGCTGGACTTTGTAGAGCTTCAGATTGTCATCTGTGAAATAGAGATAATATTTACTCCATAAAGTGGTTAAAAAATACATTTAAAAATTATTCATATGGAATTGCTTCAAAACCTTTAAAACACAAGAGAAATACTAACTATACAAAGCTATGATGAAAAAACATACGAGGAATCTTCCAAAAGTTTGTGGGAAATGTACGTCATGAAAAAACTATGCATGTATTTAGTTTTTGAACCAAAATAAATTCATGCGTTAGTACTATTTTTCCATGAAGTTTAAAGTCCCATTGCATGTCATCCCCAGTTATTTAAATAAGTTCAGTTGTTTATTCAGGTATAAAATCACTATTTTATTTAAACGAACTACATTCATTATACAAAAAAGAAATATTGGACCAGCTTTGATTGGATGATAATTTTCCAGGATCTAAATAAAACTGGTCAAGGAGAGTACAGGAAGGGAATTTAGGATTGCTTCATCTGTAAATCCCATCCTGGCAACTGGACTCAGACTTGCAACGAAATGTCAAGTTAATTTTTATAAAAAGAAAAATATTTATTATTTAACAATATTGAATGCCATTCAGAATAAAAGTGTATGTAAGATACATGCTCTATCTTCAGATGACCGCAGTAAGTAAGTATCTGCCTCTAATCTTTCTAGCCTCCAGAGTACTGGAACACCATGACTTGGATAACCTCCCAAAGCCCAGTAAAAGAAAAATTACAGCCAATTTAATTTAATTTAGTGCAACTTAATTGAGGAAATCTTTTTTTTTTTTTTGAAAGAGAGAGACGTTTAATGCAGGGCACGAGTACTCGATGGAAAGACAGAGACTCAGAGAGACAGAAAGTGAGAAATCAGTTCCCATGGGGATGGCCACACCACAATCCCTTCTCCATTCCCCTCTCGGGATTTTGGGAATGCACTCACATGTGCCTGGTGTGAGTTTTAAACCGCAGGGTCCATGACTCAAACCATGGTTGGCTACATGAGTCCAGCGATGTAACCATTATGCCATCTGCTGGTCACATTGAGCAAATCTTAACATGATTCCAATCAGGTAGTTTGCTGGATGAGCTTCCAAGCAATTCTGGGTAGCCTCATGGTCACAGTATTTAAGCTCTAGAAAAGGAAAATGACATGTTCAGGAATGGGAAAATGACGTACAAAAATGAAAGTGAAGGAATGAAGTAGAAAAGCTATTTGGATTGGTTACTTCCTGAAGTGTGTCTGCATTAACACAGTTTTAAAAGCAGGATGCCTGTGACTGACTGAAGCCTAGCTACTGTGATTGGTTGTAACCTAGCAAAAAGGAAAAAGAACAGCCTTATCTATAGTAAATGAGGTCACAGTTTCTTTACGGAAACAGCAGGA